ATAAAAATATACACAAAAAAAAATTACAGCATATATATGCCCTATTGCTGGGCACATGCGTTTTCTTATTTTTAAGAAGGTAAAGGAGAAATAGTATGCCGCTTTACTTCTGTGAGCCTTGGCGGGCTTCACACATCCTTAAATTATCTAATTCCTCAATCATGTAGGTTTCCTTAGGATATTTATCTTCACCCTAAGCATAACGTACATGAGCTACCACGATTTTCCTTTAGCACCCCTCTAATATAACCACAATCATATATGTGTATTATTTATATCTTCACAATATCATATGCTAGAAGCTATAATTATAGATGTATAAAAGACTGAAAGAAAGAAATAATTATATTCAGAGTTCTGTTTTATCTAATATGCTTTTTATCGAATGTCCACGAGTTATATTTAATTGCTTTTTAATCGCTGCCGTCTACGGCTACCGTCACTTTTCTTGTTTTTGTATGCATTCACACTGTATTTATATTATTATTCTATACTGTTCGTATAGGTAATGAAAGATGCATTGAAGTGGAAAACGGATGTTCCTAGAGAAAATTGAAAAGTAGGAAACTTTGTATACGAATAACGATTAATGGTGAATGATTCATATAGTAAAGTATGTAACGACGTAAGATAATTTACATATCTGCAAAATTTTTAAGAAGTATTACTTAAAGGGTATTTAAGTTTAATAGTTATAGCAAAAATAAATAAGTAACTTTAAAATCATCCATGGGTGGAATCGGTGTTCTTTTGTGAGGATTTGTCTGACGAAAGTGAAGACGAAGTCTGACGTAATGTCTGGGACGACCTTGAACATGTTCACAGATTGTAGACTTCCCAGAGCGTCGGTGCTTCACTTCAGCTGTATGTTCTTTTACGTGGATTTTTATTGATCTTTTTGTCCTATGAAAGAGATACCACTCTTGTGCACTCTTGCATCTTGTAAAGAGATGTTACACTTGACGGATGTTACTAAAATGACTAATCTTCTTCGGCAGCTTGTAGTAGATTTTAATGAAAGCTCGCTTCAAGATGTTAATCTTGTCTGTGACTCCTCTGACATATGGTAGCACAGCAGGCACACGTTTAACAATGGCCGGTTTCACTTGGTCACTGTGACGTAGGCCCGGGACTTGAATTTTGTTATCTTTCATTTGCTTGATGTGCTCTCTGAAACAAAGACTTTCCCATGGTAGCTAACTGTGATGGATGGTGGTGAGATTCACCATTTAAATATCGGTTGGTATGGGTATTTTTCCTATACACAGACAGTATGGCTAATAGTTTTATCAGGATTTTTGTGTTAAACACTTCTGATTGTGTGCCATGCAGATATGCCAATATGTCATGAACGAATATACATATTTATGTAACTATAACAATGACCATACTGTTTAATCCAAGCATATTTGGAATATTTTAAATAAAACATAATACTATCATTGACTGTATGTTAATAGAAGCTATGTAAATACTTCTATAAAATCTTTTTTTGTTTATAAGTTTAATTTTTTTACGTGGTAGAGTCATGATGCAGCTATATTAGTAGTATAGTTGTAGCACGAATGGGTCGGCTCGACCGGGGAAGGACTACGCTCTCACAGAATACCATCGTAAAATAGCAATTTAACACTGCTGTGTTTCGTATGGTGAGTGTAGAGAACCGGAGATCCTTTTTACTGGAAAAAAGGCATTCCATCTTAGTCCTCACGGGTGAACGCATCTGCATTTTGATTCGCAAACTAGGATAAATGTAGATGTCTATGGGCCACAGCAACCACTTACCATCAGGTGAACTGTGTGCTCGTTTGTCACTCAATCATATAATTTTTTTTTAAGTAAAGCCGTCATCAGAATAAAATGAGCTTGAATATACTTAAGTGTTTGCATAGAAAAAAAATAGATGCAACGTTGTGGCTGCAGCGAACTGTACTGACAGGTACTTTCTTTTCCACGTAAAGAAGGCGACGGCAGTCACACGAATAACGTTTTTGTGCGACTGCTAGACTATTATAAGCTGAGAGTTGAATGAACATTATCAGGAAATTATTCGTATCTAACTGCCGGTGTTGTATTTGATAATAATCTAAGTTCTTATTCGCTGGACAAAAAGAGTTCTTAATATATAATAATTGAAAGAGTTGACTATACTCACCGCGCTGGGCATTGGTGAGGACAGGATCGATATTTTGCACTGGTAATACTGCTTTCCATCCATATTAACACTATGGAATATGGGCTTAGTGTTTTTGGGAGTTTTCGCCTGAAGCTCGTTTGTCAGTGACTAGACTGCTTAGCTAGCACATTGCCAGAAAGATGGAGTGTCAGAAATTCACTTAGTGAGGTGAATATTATTATTATTATTATCATATTCCCTCAAAGGGTAGATATGTATTTAAAGGTACTGAAGAGTGTGTGTGTTTGTGTGTGTGTGTGTGTGAGAGAGAGAGAGAGAGAGAGAGAGAGATAGAGTAAATATGAAACACTTTTGACATTTTAATTGGTTTTGATAAATAATAAATTTAACAAAATATTATATGGACTTACACGTCTTTTTTGTTTTTGGTATTTAATTCTTGTCATTGGATGAGATAGTTTGAAGAACTGTCTAATGCCATAATACACATACGTTCATAGTACGCAATCAGAAATTTACTAGTCAGCTATAAATTAAATTACCTAACGATAAACAAAATAGCATATAATGTTCCTTTATTTCAAATTCAGTCCAATGTTATTTTACGCTCTAAAACGGCATACCTTACGCCCTCGCATTAGATTGGCAACCTAAACAGTTTCAAATGAACTTGACTCTCATGAGTTTTGCAACTGTTTGCAATTTAATGTGTCTAAAGCGATTATGTTCGCTTATTTGGCGTCATTACGATTGAAATACTTTCATCAAAGTTAATTATCAAAATATAAACATCTGTAATATATATCTATACAAATAAATAAAATTAAAGTGTCTGTTTGTAATGTCAAAATATCAGCTTTTTACTAAATGCATATGAAAGTATATACGGTACTTATAAAAAAAAAACTATTTTTATAGTTTTTGTCTGTCTGTCTGTCCGTCTGTCTGTTCCGACTAACCTAATAGTTGATGCTATAAGGAATAACATAGGCTTCTTTTACTATAGAAAAGTAATAAGGGTTCCACGCAAAAAAATTAAAATCCATGAAATCCAATAGTAATAAAGTCTACGCAAAGTGGCCGGAACAGCTAGTTTCTTTTATAAAATTGAAGTGACAACTGAACTTACAGTCCGCCTGGTGATGAGTGGCTGCAGTCCATGGGCACCTACAGTAGTTGTTACCTCTGAGGACTTGATGGGTTGCCTTAAATCCTGTAATCCTTCTGGCTCTCTATACACTTTAAACCACAGAAATTGGAACACAGCTATTTGGCGAATTCCTAGGCACAAAAGGGATTTATAATTAATGTTGGGTATTAAATAAAACTAATTATTACGGATTTTATCGCGTTTAATTTAACTTTTTAATTCCCGACGTTTCGGGTGCTTTACAGCACCCGTGGTCACGGGGTCACGGGTCACGCGGTCACGGGGTCACGTCGGGAATTAAAAAGTTAAATTAAACTCCGTAAAAATTAGTTTCATTTAATGTGTAGTCTTCGCGTAAATATAAGAAATCATAATGTTGGGAATTACAGCATTTGTATGTCTAATTCTTTTTTGTAAATATTATAGAGCACTTAGTCCGCACGAGTTGCTTCAGTATTTAGCGGTGAAAACATCCTTGAAATCATTTATTTCTCGGATATGCCGATCTCCTTAAAATATTTTTCTTCCCCACAAAACAGTACCTGTTAACCACTTCTAACCTTCAAGAAAAGAGCGTAACCTACTCCTTTTTAAAGGGCAGGCAACGCATCTGCAATTCCCTCCCTGGTGTTGCAGTTGTTCATGGGCGGCGGTAGTCACTTACTCCTATAAAAAAAAAACTGCAATTGAAATTGGAAATTCACGATAATCCGTACCTAACAGCTCTTGTATTATATATAAAATGTTTAATTGTTGAAAACAATATTGCTGTAGTCTTATTATAAAATAAATAACATACTTTAATCAGTAAATAATTCTATGCAAATCAATATTAATGTAATTTCAAATAATCAAACTGCAAGTATAAATTTGCATCTTAAATACGTATTATATATTAAGTGCCTGCCTTTTAACCACACCTCAAAGATAAATATATCTTAAAAGCCTAATTGTGTAGAGTTCTTCTAAATTCCTTAGGTGCTTTCAATAATCAATTTCGTTCCGACATCGGGCCAAGAATGCCGGAGTCGAACCGGTTTTAACCATAGTTGCCCTTTGTGGATTACCGACAAACACCTATTGTACCCTTAGGACTTATGTACTCCGGTTCAGTTATTATAGTATAATGACTACTTAAATTATTTTGAAAAAGAGTGGGTGGAAATAAAAGAAATAAATATTTAAAAACGAGCTCCTTTTAAAATTTTTGAATGGTATATATTATAAATAAGTGATATTTTGTTTTTATTTTATATATATATTGTTTCACTTTACTACCATCTTCAATTTATAGTTACAGTAAAATTATTACTGAAACAAAAGACAAGAATGGTCAGAATTAGGACTGGTGTCAAAGACCTAACAAATACGTTCAGAGTCGCTTCTTTAGCTCTACGCTTTCTTTGATTCCGATAGGGGACGATTATTGTACTGAAACATGTGGCACACGTGTAATTCGTAAGGCGTTGACCACGTTAAACCATTGATAGTTTTTGCCCGCTGATAATATCATCATAAAAACTCCTTTCCTGGCAGGATCTTTCTTTTCTATCAAAGCTATAAAAATGCCAACAGCTCAGTAAGTTTAAAAATTATATAATATAGAAATCTTGAGTATGAAACTTAAAATTGCACAAATCAATTATTAGGTGTGACGTGATATACTTTGCTCGCAAAACACAATAAGACAACTAAGATATCCTTTCTTTCCAGACCTACGTGACGGGGAACACGGACAACTCTCAAGCGATACTGGAGAGCCTGAATAACAAGTACTACTTCTACACGAGGACCCGAGGCCTCTTCCGCATTTGCTATCCGAAAGAGCGGCCGCCTACAGGTGAGTCGGCACTTTTCTTACAGGCATTCCATTGTTTTTATAACGAGTTTTTTTTTTTATTGAAGCGTGCACACGTAACACTACATGGCTTTTGCGGCGCGATGTATGCATTTAGGTCATTTATCTAATGTATTTTGCAAAAATCATGCATGTATGCAGTTGTAAGTGTTCTAGATTTCTAGATAATCGCATATAAAATTATATATTCATTTAGAACGTAATCTAAATAACTTGTGTGTATAAAAATATATTTTAAGTAAGTAAAGTACTGATAAACAAGTTTTTTTTTATAGGATAGGGTGACAAACGAGCACACAGTCCACCTGATGGTAAGTGGTTGCTGTGGCCCATAGACATCTACATTTCTATCCTCGTTTGCGAATCAAAATGCAGATAGATGCGTTGTCACCCGTGAAGACGAAGATGGAATGCCTCTTTTCCATTTACATGAAAATTTTATGTATGGTACTTTATGTATGGTAGGACTCCTTTTCTGCCCAGAAGAAGAACTTGATTGTGGGTTTTAAGGGTTTACACTGCTGACAATAGGCTTTTCACACAGGTTGCCTCATAGAGGGAATATTTGCCATAGCTGCCACGCTTGGCAGGCAGTTTGGCAACCGCAGTGTTTTTATTATTTTGAGTTGGTATGAGGAAGATTTTACTCTATGCCTATGCTAAGTCCGTTTCCTTCTATCACCCATGGGATGATGCGGGGTTGTGGGTTCCCTTACGGCGCCTATGCTTAAGCATACTGATTTAAATTTCAATATTTTAAAATCGTATTTTGTGAGTTGAATTCTGTTTACGTAACTACGTACATACACATATATATAGTTCCTTGTCATGAGGTTTAAAATAATAATAGTTTTTTCATTGACCTACAACATTTTTAAATACCTGTTTGCGTAATGTATGTTTCAATTGTTAGAAAAGTTTCGTTATATTTAGTTATTTATATAAAAGAATTTCAGAAATATTTATTAAATACTAGCTGGTACTCGTCGCATTGCTGCCGCAGAAGAAATTATTGTGGAAATATCGTTTTAAATTTGGAAGGGTTTTATTGTTTAATTAGTAATGACAATACATTCATTGAAATTGAATATTAAATAACTTTTAAATACATTTATCGGTTCGATACGCGTACCACCTCATCATCATCATCATTACAGCCTTTCATAAGTCCACTGCTGAACATAGGCCTCCCCCAAGGAATGCCACAAAGCACGGTCCTGAGCCATCTGCATCCATCGACTTCCTGCACGTCTTACCAGGTCGTCACTCCATATCGTGGGGGGTCGCCCTAGACTTCACCTACCGGTACGAGGCTGCCACTCAAGAACCTTTCTTCCCCATCGGTTGTCGGTTCTTCGAGCTATATGGCCGGCCCACTGCCACTTCAGCTTACTAATCCCTTGGGCTATGTCGGTTACTCTGGTTCTACTGCGGATATACTCATTTCTAAGTTTATCACGCAGAGAAACCCCGAGCATAGCCCTCTCCACCTACTGTAAGTTAATTGTACTATGCCTATATCCTTTGCTTTGCAAGTGCAAGCAATAAGTTGACAAAGTTTTAGCGTAATCTGATGAACGATGTGGCAGCGCATAAAGTACGAATAAACTAATATATTAGATTTAATAAATTAATATTGCGTAATATTATGATTTCCTTATAAACGAGTGCTACTTAGTATGTCATAAAACCAAGTAACTATCGCTTAAATACCAACCCAATTAATAACCGCAAAATGTCGCAATAACACGAGCGAATCATACGGTTTATTCTAATTGAACATGTTTTAATGGCAATGATTACTGACGCCATTAGAGCGCAAAACAAATTCTAACATACAAATATGGTACAGGAATTTAGTCTCTAAAGCTAAGCTAAAACAGCTCCTAATAGAATGAATAGAAACATGGTCAGTGGATCAGATTTACGGTATTCTCAAACAGGTGCCTAACAGTGAGTGTAAAATATACCAACTGTATTTATTTCCGTGCAATTGCGGTGAACATTAGCTTAAATTCCATAGATTACAGATTAGTCTGAGTTCGTTTCTCATAAAACGCATTCGATAATTATACATTATATATTCATATTATGTTAATAACATTGTTGTGACCTATTTAACAATAAAACTTCGTTATAGTAGAATAGTCAGTAATTACCTTATTACTGTATTATTGATCATCATCTAAGCGCCTTCATTAGTATGTTTGTTACAGTTACAACATACCATGTTTACAAGACGATTGTTTTTTACTTCATGTCAATTTTATGATATATTAGCAACCTGTCCCGGCTTCGCCTGGTTCTTTAGGTTTAAGGTAATCAAATATACAATTTATTTTATAAATTTTTCCTTCTTATCATCATTATAGCCCTTGACAAGTCCACTGCTGAACTGCCTCCCCCAAGGAATGCCAAAAAACACGGTCCTGGGTCTTCTGTATCCATTGACCTTCTGCATGTCTTACCAGGTCGTCACCCCAATCAAAGGGTAGCCTACACCTCGCCTACCGGTACGAGGCTGGTGGCGAGGCAGATATCAGTTATGACCCAACTCAATATAAAAGTAATCTAAGTAAACCGAACACTTACCTAGTGATAATAATGTTCTTCAGACCGAATTTCGGTTGCGGCGGCCAGTCTCAACGGAGACTAGCCATCTGCGCAGGACAGGATTATAGATAACGTGACCATACGTCCCGCTTTGGGCGGGACAGTCCCGCTTTCAGGCTGTCTGTCCTGCTGTCTCCAGTGCAAGCAAAATTGTCCCGCTTTCGCAAACAGACCTAACTTCATTCTTCTGCAGCTCCAACGTTCGGGTCGAATTTTTGAAAGAGTTTTGTGATTCAACTGACACAGAGTATCACAAACTGCTGGGCTACAGTAAAGCAAGGTGTCTTGCGTTAATGCCAACGCTTGAGAGAGTTCTAAAAATGTTTCAGCCTTTAAAAAGCTATTTTCTATGTATCGACAAATTCCCGAATATATTAAAAAATATTTTTCGAAATTCCCAGATCAGAGTTGTGGTTATATTTCTTGCACGCACAAGCAGCGACATTTCATGAAGCTGTGTTAAAAATTGAGGGACAAAAACGTGTCTGCAATAGAGTATGCGAAGGAAATTAATCGTCTCCGAGATAACCTGGCACTCAAAGAGAGCACTCTATACGTGGTAGAGCCATGCTGCAGCTATATTGGTAGTATAGTTGTAGCACGAATGGGTCGGCTTAACCAGGGAGGGACCACGCTCTCACAGAAAACCTTTTTTACTGGAAAAGAGGCATTCAATCTTAGTCCTCACGGCTGCCAACGCATCTGCATTTTGATTCGCAAACGAGGATAGATGTAGATGTCTATGGGCCACAGCAACCACTTACCATCTGTGTGCTCGTTTGTCACATTATCCTATAAAAAAAAGATTTTCCTTACTCACACCGTCCGTAACATACTTTACTGTTTATTAGCAGCAGATACGAAAGTCTGACGAGTTTTCGCTTATTTCCAACTTTGCGACCGATGAAATATCACTGGCTGGAATAATGAGAATATTGCTGCTGAAGACCGTTGGGTTGAATTATTCCAGTATTTCCGTGCCAACTATCTCCACTTAACGAACTTTTGTACAATTATTGAGTATATTATGTGTCTGCCAGGAAGTAATGCGCCGGTAGAAAGAGTTTTTTCTCAAATGAACGAAATATGGACCAGTGATAAATATATAATCAAAGGATAAAACTCAGTTAAGTGTCGCAGTAGTGAAAGCCATTTTAATTAAAAATAAATATAAATAAATCCTGTACTGAGCTCCATATGTACCTAAAAACCAGACTCGATATTTTAAAACTAATTTGTTCAGCCGACAAATACAAAAATACTATGTAGAAGTCACGACACTACTAAAGGGCTTAGTAACTCATGCAACCTACTTAATTTGTAATAAGTGCTTTGATTATTTTTATTATTGTTATTACCTTCTATAATTAAAAAAAAAACTTGTAAACCACCAAAAACTTTTATTTGCCATAATTCCGCAAGAGACGTCCCGCTTTGATAAAAATAATAAATGGTCACGTTAATTATAGAGCCCAAGTGTATGCGCAAGTACGCACAGGCGCAGTACAGGCGCCAGATCAGGCGCAGTACCAACGGCTTTACGTGCTTTCCGAGGCACGGGGGTGAGACACCGCCAACTTCCTGACTCCAGGCTGCTACTGAGGATTTCTTGACAGCAAAACACAATAACTGATATTGGCCCGGCCCGGGAGTCGAACCCGGGACCTCATGATCAACAATCGCCTTTACAATTACTGGAACTACGAGGCAATCACTCTTTTTTTATAGGATAGGGTGACAAACGAGCACACAGTCCACCTGATGGTAAGTGGTTGCTGTGGGCCATAGACATCTACATCTATCCTCGTTTGCGAATCAAAATGCAGATGCGTTGTCACCCGTGAGGACTAAGATGGAATGCCTCTTTTCCAGTAAAAAGGGTGTTTGGTGGATAACTTTTATCCGACGATTAAAAAATCGGTCCTAAATAGTATTGTCAGTTTCTTTTAAGAATAGAAAAACTCATTTTCGTCCGAAACAATTAATATTCATATCGTTAGTGCAACTTTCGTTTTTAACTAATACTTTTCAGTCGTTGTATGTGTCAGATGAACGTACATGCGTCGCGATGTAGTTTCACCGCAAACCGGTGTGAAAGGAACCCACTGCATTACAGAGTATGAGATCTTAAACGGCCGTTGTCGACTTCCGAGCTTAGAAAATTACGCATCAGAAATAGGCAACGTGCAACCTATGATTATGAGATTTCACTCTCCTCAGGCTTCAAATAGGTAGTTACATCTCGTGCATGTATACTTGGGGTTTGGGTTTTGTTATTTGAACCCCATTTGGTACCATTTAAAGGTGAAATTTCAATGTTACGAATGAGTAATATGTTATTCACGCATTTCATAGTTAAGTATGTCCTG